TGCTTAAATAATAGAATAGAGGAGTAAATGAAAATTGGCTAAAACCATTAATTTGACTCTAATTAAGTATAACACACTTTGCTTCTTTAGTGAAGGACAGGCCGGTTTCTTCAATCTAATGTGAAGAAATAAAAATGCCAATTCTTAGGAAGAAACTTCTAGTTTCATTTTTAAAATAAATAAATAAATAGAATCAAATAGAAAAGCACACAACTGGTAAAAACTGAAGATTATACTTGAAAAGAACCTGATAGGTAGCAGAACAATACCCTCCATCCAAAATAAGAGTTGTTTATCAAACTAAAACATAACTACCATCAATTAAGACTTTCAAGAGACATCAACTTCAATGCATCAGACTGTTTGGATGGGATTTTACCAATGTACATGACCAAAAAGTACTCCTCCAACCATTACCTTAGGACTTCAAAGTAGGAAAAAAAAAAATCAAAATGCAAAACTATAACATATGGATGAAAGAACAGTTCCATTCAAGGATTCTACCAAATAATTTAACGCCTAGCTACCTAGGAAAAGACTATACCAACCATGCCAACAACAGACATCCTAGATATAACAACCATAGAGATCAGAACACTGAGAAGAAGCTGCATTCTTAACCAATATACCTAATGATTAATAACCCAACTATATTCGAGGGAAATTCTTTATGACGTTCGGGATCTTATAACTGTTGGAGGAGATCCGAAACTAATAAGGTTAATTCACTAGTCAATGACCTCAAAACATGGGCTGAGAGTTTGAGTGGTTACTTTAAAAATCTTAGTAAATATTCCTCTTATCCCAAAATTATTATTCAGTTTATATTTTCACTTTTATCATTTTGAAATAAAAAAATAAAATTCCAAACTGGACAATTGTTTCGGGACAGTTGAATGTCAATTAGCTAGTTTGAAAAGATATGTTTCCGTAAATGCACAAAGTAAAAGGTGAGTAGAATGTTTGCTGTCCATGAAATCTGCCTTTTGTGTGCCAACATTTCTTTTAGAAAGAACAAAAAAAAAAGAACACACACACACACACACACATTTCGCATGTGGATTGTCCACCGGCTAAAAAAATGACTAATTATTCTGGCTAATTATAGACACATCGATACATACTAGAGTTGTCCAAATAATTTAAATGTACTCCACACCCACAACAAAGTTTCAATCTCCGACTTATAACTAATGGCGGATAAATATCTTATCACTCAAAAGCGTGACCACAGAGAATAGGTTTTTGAATTTATATTTCAGTGAAATTACATGTTTTATTTCGTACACAATGATCCATTCTTTGGGAGATTAACATAATTATAATATTCCTCAACTATAAAATAGAATGCTGGGCATTGATTATAATTGTTTGGTCGCCCGGTGTTCGAAACTATTTCGAGTTTACCGATTGTCGTGGTTGAAGCTATCGTTACTAAAATCTGAGAAAGCATTTTAAAAAAATACATGTTTTGTATCCAAGACTACGAAAAATACATGCATTTACGGACCAAGCATTTTCTTGGATACATTTTTTTTTTTTTAAAAAAATTACGCTTGGTTTCCAAAAAGCATTGCTTATTTGAATTCAAACCAACAACAAAGTCATTGGATATTAGAACAAAAATCAAAGCCCCAAAACGTTTCTCGATGACATACAATCCTGCCGACAATGAATAAAACTTCCCCATTTTCTTAATGGTTTCGTTAAGAAGGGGGAAAAAGAAAAAGAAAAATTCCCGCTGTCATTATTTTTTTTCTTTTTGTAAAATAAACAGTGATGACGAGTGATTCATTTAACGTTGAAAATATGTAATGCACTAAGCAGGGTGTATCTTAATCATGGAAACCTTTATATTATAAAATTTAGTAGATCGAAAGAACAAATTGCGGAAAGTTTATTGCTTATCTATGAAAATAGCCTGTAAGAGATTAGGAAGTGGTAAGATTTATTAATTATTGGATTAGTTGTTATAATAGATCAAATTTAAGGGATTAATGTTTATATTATGGAATCGTTAACAATGCCAATCCATTTGAAAAAAAAACATTTGAATGAGTGATAAGAGCGCATAAAATAAAATTTGAAGGGACGGCAGAATTTGAAATCATGTAACTATTCGAGATGAGAGCAACGTTCTTTGGAATTTATTGAAATATTTGTTTCTTAAGATGAACAAAGCGTTATTGGGAACGAAATTCATTAACTTGTACCAAAGACGAATGTGTTGCATGTGAAATTTGGTACTCTACATACGTTCAATACCTTTGAACAAATCACAATTTTGAGGACATTTCTATTGAATAAAAATGAATAAGATAAATCAGTAAATTGTAATTGTCCAAATGTTTTTCTTCATATAATGGATTTTTCGCCCCTTTTTGCCCAAGCTAAATTTCAGCGAGAGATCCTATGATACCACAACCCCTCAACTTAGATATTGAAATTGATCGGCAATACATGTGTGACAACATTTCTTTGTTAAACTTGCTTAATATATAGAGAATTGATGTTTGGACAAGAGTTTGGAAAATTTGTATGTTTGGATCGCGCACTCATTAGTTATTCAGTTCATTTCATAATAATGACCTTATTTTTTCAAGTGACAAGACGTGACTATTAAATTGAGACGAATGTAATAGATATATTCAAAATATGAAAAATGAAGTTAAAATATAATAGAGAGAAAAAATTTTAGGAACAAAGAAATGCCTAGCAAGAGGTTGTGTTTCAAACTTTTTCGAGGCAACGAATATTTTCTTCTAGAAATAAAGTTTAAAAACATAAGCCATGGTGGATTATTCTCGTGACAATGGTTCTTTATCCAAGCCACCGGCCTATGAAGAGTCACATGACTATTCTTTTCTTCAGATATTACCCAAAAGCGCCAGAGAATAAGTTTTTCAAGTTATTACAGGTTCGGGAAATTTCATCTTTTTTTTTTTGTTTTATTTATTTTTTTTTTTTTGGTGCAAAATGAATCATTCTTTTGGCCGAATTGCATAAAATTAATTCTTGCTCGGTAAACTCGAATTTTGGGAGTCAGCTCTCATTATTTCGTTTTATCCAATGTCTTGGAACTATTTCGAGTTTATAAGAACCGATGCAGGTATAAAATATGGTAAAAGGAAAGTCTTAATTTATATATTTGAATTGTATTTGAAGCCTAAGACGCATTACCAAAAAAAAAAAAAAAAAGTGTTTTCACTATATGAAAATAATTGTTTGACAACATTTTCATCTTCAAATTTCTAGTGAGTTATGCTGATAATGCGTAGCGGTGGTAATTGGAAAGAGAAGTAAAAGAGATGTTTTCTGTCCAACACTCGGAAGAATGCTTGCATCATATTTTGGAACATTGAATTTCGTTGGATACATTTTTCTTAAAATTATTCTTATTGTCCGAATATTCTATTCTAATTTGTTTGAATTCGAACCAAAGTATAGGTGAAAAATGTTCTTGGAATTAGAATACAAATAAAAATCCAAAACTCCGAAACTTATGTCTCGATACCATACCAATAAGAACAGACCCATTTTCTTAGGCTTCCTGAGGGTTATTTCTAAGTATGTTAATTTTCCATTAAGAAGGAAAAAAAAAAAATCAATTTCCAGCAATGGTTACATGTTATTTCATAAGCAAACGTTGAAGATGATTTGTTGATTCAACGTTGAAGTATATGTAATTCACTAAGCGAACATATCTTAATCGTGGAAATTTTTACAATTACGAAATTTAGTAAATTGAAAGAACGAACTATGGAAAGTTTTACGTTATTGCTTGGCCATTCGGAAAACCAAAATTTTTTCTCGGTGTAACATACCACAAACTTTATTTTATTTATTTTTCCCATAAAGTGAATAAGTTTTTTTTTTTTTTGGTTAAAAAATGAAGAGGCCGAAACCTATATAGTGGACCTTCTTTTGACACCTGAATAAATTACTCCGATGAATCACTAAGGGATTCAATGGATTACGTGAAATTAGGGAGATGATGAGATTTATCATTAGATTAGTCGTTAGCATAACAAACCTAAGAGATTAAAGTTTAAATTACTGAATCATGTAAACTACTCGTTAAGGTCGGACGAGAGCACATAGGGATTTATCGGAAGATCACACTTCTCGAAACGCCGAAGAGGCGTTGCATGTGAAATTTGGTACTCTTCGTGCGATACCTTTGAATTAAATGGAATTTTGAACACATTTGAACCATCGAATATCAACATTGGAGTTTAAATACTGGGTTCATAGTCATTTAATTTGGTATCCGTGAATAGTGTTCTGTGGGAGGATTGAAGGATTCTTATAATGAAGTTGATCGTGAATTTCTGAGCCTAAAATATAAATGAATTCTGAGCTTTCTGGTTCTACTACCTAACTATTCTCGGCATACGAATTGCTACATCTCCAAAGTCGGGCAGCAACATTTACTAGTACTAACTACTAAACCTAAAGTTTAAGCTTTAGTTAAACGTGAGATCCTTCGAGTCGAACAGTCTTTCAGGTTAAAACTCGAATAGGCAGATCCATCGCATAGAGGAAAAGGATCCTGTCATGTCGATTGCGATGCAGAGGAAACAATTTTCCTTATTGCAAAGATCAACAAGAGCAATTCCCCTCAACCGAATTGGTTTCAAAATTTTGACTTACGAACTTTCACATCATAATTCCTCCGTTTGATTTCAATCCACCTTCGTAAGAGTTACAAATGCAGGCCTGGAATCTATATCAGAGGCACATAACATATCACATGCCAACTTAACACTCCGATTTAATTCCCCTAGGTTCAAAAAATTTTCTAGCAGACAAAAGAATTTCAGGGCATTTAGGTATAAAGCTACATGAGTTTACAGCCAGATTTTTCCTTTTTCTAAACCAGGACCAGGAGTTTATATGTTCCCACATGATACGAATTCAACTACTATGCAACTCCTAAAACTTTCAGTATTCATTTAGGGAAATAAGAACAGTAGTTCGATAGGAGCCTCCAAATCATGCATAAATTCAAACCTTTACCGCAATACGTCCACAGAAAAAAGAAAACTGAAAACTACATCAATGTGAATCACTTTACCAAACTATATTTAGTCATAACACAGAAAAACGCAACAATTACTTACAATTAATTCCCATATATGCATGCTGTGCAAAGAGAAGTATCAAAAACCTTTGCAAGTTGAGGATTTACAGATTGGTTGTACACATATAAGCAAAAGTAATACTCCCTCTGTCCAGAAATGATTGTCCAGTTTGAGACTTCACTTTTAATCAAAATGAAAATCCAAACGGAACAATGATTTTGAGACAGAGGGACCATATTAATGGAACTTATGTTGAGTAAGATGAACTTACATGAGCATTAAGGCAGCAACATCTTCTCTGCTTATTTCATTTTGACCCTCCCTCTTCCCGAAGGCTTTTCTTGCTAGCAGCTTCTTCTCCTCTTGCAGCCTAAGGATCCTTTCCTCGATAGTATTCCGAGCAATAAGCCTTGTTATCTGCACGTCTTCCTTTTGTCCGATTCGGTGGACCCTGTCCATTGCTTGTTCCTCTATAGCTGGATTCCACCATGGCTCCAGCAAATACAACCTAGAAGCAGCAGTCAGATTTATTCCAGAACCACATGCTTTAAGAGTGGCGAGCAAAATAGTAGCTCCATCTGGTGCTGGAATTTGAAATTCCTTTATTATCTTTGCCCTCTTATTGGCACTCATTGAGCCGTCTAACCGCAATATCTTGAACCCAGCTGATTTTAGAGGCTCCTCGACAAGAAGTAACATTTTCTGAAACTGTGAAAATACTACTGATTTTGTCATTGCGCTCCGCTCCCTTGTTTCACAAAGCTGTTTTAAAAGAACAGCAATTTTGGATGAAAAGGAGGAGCCGAGAGCATCTTCGGCCTCAAAAATCTTTGGAGCAGAAAAAAGGTCAGAATCTGAGAGAGGATGACGGCACAAGGGACAGGAAGCTGCCAACCTCCTTATTGCCTTAAGGATGCAGGCTCGGCAGAAGATATGTGCACAGCATGTAATAACTGGACTAGTTAATTCGGACATACAGATCGAACAATCCAAGTCAACACCCTCTTGCAACACAGAAAGCATCTTCTCCAGCAGTTTTGGATTGTTCCGCACATCTGTACAAATTCATTTCAATAAGTCAAGGAAGCAAAGAGCAAAGTGTTCTACATATGCCCCAGCCAACAGGTTCTGATACACTCATAGTGACAGCTACAAGTTTCCTTTCTAGGAAATAAATTCATAAAGTGGAAATAACAAAGAATGGTAGTAACACAATAATGCAAATGAATCTGTCAAAAAGATGGCCAACATGTATTGAAATTTAAAACTATACCTTCCAAGGAAGGGAGCAACTCTCTGAAATCTGGCGGGCACAGAGCCAAAGAATCGCAGAGTTGTCGAAGTCGTACAATGATGCTCATAACTGTTGAATAGTTTGTATCTAAATTTAGGCCTGATACATATTCCTTTATAATATTCCGTGCCTCAGATTCCATTTTGTCGTAAACATCTCGCTCTTCACGAGAGAGATCAATGAGAAGGGTCTCAACAGATTTTGAGGGCAAACCAATCAAAGTTTTATCTTTTGTCCTTCTCAAAGCTATTGTTGCCAGAAGAACCTGATAAACAATATAAGATTGACGTAAGTGAGTTAAGCATTAGATCAAGTGAAACCTCTTTGACCAAGCATGGAATTTATGAACTGCCTCAAGTTTGTTTGTTTGAAAACTACTGGAAATAAAACAAACCGAAAATAATGACTTTTACCTGAAGCCAGGAGATACCCTTCTTATCTCCTGAAGCAAGAGGCCCTGTTATCAAACTAATCCAGCAGCTCCTTATGGATAGTGGTTCAAACTTCAAAAACGATAATAAGGAGAACAAATCATCAGAGCTATTCTGAATTGGTGTTCCAGTGACAACCCACCTTCTCTTTGATTTTAACTTGGTAACAGCTTTAGTCTGCCGAGCTTTGACATTTTTAATCAGATGTCCCTCATCCAAGATAACTCGCCTCCACTCTATCTTTTTCACTGGGGACTCTTCCCATGCATCTTCAGCAGCAAGCGTATTATATGTAGTCAAGACAATGTCATAAGCACAAAGTTCATCAACATCTTCCGTTCGCTTACCATAGTACATGTACACTTTCAGCTTTCCAGGTACAGTGTGCTCCTTTAGCTGGCTAACCCAAGACGAAAATACAGAGGGTGGACAAACTACCAATGTTGTTCTCGAACATACATCGGTTGATATATCTGAGTCTCTTGATGACTTTCCCCTGCTCTCGGGCACCTCTTTATCCCTTCTTCTTTGCCTCTTGTCTGGATTGATACTCCTACTTCTAGTTCTTTCCCATTTTGTTATTCCATGGTGAATTGTAATTGTTTCTTCTTCAGTCATAGAGGATCCATTCGCAGCATTTATAGTATCAACTGATAAAGAAGAATCACTGCAGAACTTGTCGAAAGCAATCAATGAGAGAAGAGTAAGAGTTTTACCCAATCCCATGTCATCAGCAAAGATTCCACCTTGTTGGGGCTCTGGTCTCTCACTAATGAGCTGGCCTGTCAACACATTATAGTAAGCCCCGTCTTTTAGTTCCCAAAACGGCGGTAACTCACAGGAGTTTTCCCTGTGAACCAGCCATGCCAACCCTTCCTTTTGGTGCGAAAGGAGCTCAGACTTGATGACATATCGAGGCGGCTCTAATTCACCCAGTGCACCCGATTGACCAATCTGCTCATCCAACAACTTGAAGATCTCGTCGACACTCTTTTCATCTTGGCCATCTATCTTTCGATTCGTGACAGCAGCTTGTGACGAAGCAAATGCAGAGCTAGTCTCTGAAAACAGTTGGTACCCACCATGTGAAATGGCCGACTTCACGGCATCAAATGCCTCAGGTCTGGCGAAAATGTGAACCTGGCAAGGTCTGTACGTGTTTGCTGTGGACGACACCTTTGGCACCATACCTGCGAAATACACCAACTCAATGTCAAGTCCAGCAGTCAGACATAAAATCAAACGCCTACTGTACATACTTCAAACGTTTTCCAACACAAAATCTCAAGTAAATTGCATTTCAATTTCAACTTCAGAAGATGAGAAATCTAAAGTGTTCAAGGAACCAACATGAATCAGGCCGCCCAAAAACCCGAAATCATTACAAAGATAACTTCTGCAAACTCTATCACAATGCACAAACGAAAAATCAGAACCATTATTCAGGAACCAGAAGCAGTTAATCAATCAGTCCTTCTCAACCGGTTTGTTTTGTAAACTCCATCACCGGCGGGCAGTGCGGTGGAGGTTGTTGGTGGTGGAGGGAAAACATTTGGTTTTTCAAATATTTTGTTGAAAGACATAACACCGGACAAAATCAGTTAAAATTGAGTTTAATCAGTCATATAACGAAGAGACCGGGTTCGGGTTCGGGTTCGGGTTCCGGTTCCGGTTCTCGATGGACAACCAGACCGGGTGATCCATTGGACATGCCTAGAAATATGTGACACGTGGAAAATGTTTTTACGTTTTCTTTTTAAAATAAAAATAAAACAGGAGGTACGACCAGATCAGCTCTGTTAATGCTGAAGTGTCATATTTCTGGATTCGCAGAATCCGTTATTCATAGGACAAAGAACGCGTTAAATCACGCGCTCAGGTCCTATCCCCTTTTATCGATATTTTCATGTCGAAAATGTAATTTTATGTTACTTTTTATATATATTTATTATGCATAACATGCATGCAGCAAAAATTCGTTACTTGAATCATCAAATAAAAAAATCCAAAGAAATGAGGAATGGTTAAGGTTATTACCTGTAACGCTGATTAACTGTGAATCCATCATCGGAGCCAGGATTCCGGCGGCGGACGCATCAATGAAACCGATTTGGTCCGACCAGAGGTTCATGACTTTAATCGCATTCTGGTCAAGAGCAAAGGAAGGATCCCGGACCAATTCCACCGTTTCCCGGCCATTGACCGTCCCGTTAAAGTATCGGATGTCGGTCACGTGAGTGAGCACAAAGCCCACGAAGTAAAGCTGAGAGGAAGGTGCTGGCGGCGGCGGCTCCGTCGATGACGATGCCGATGCCGCCGCGCCGCCACCGCTTCCATTTCCCACCTCCCTAGCGGCAGCATAATAAAATGGCCAGGTTTGCAAGTCCAAGAACTCATTCACCGGGTCTTCCGTTCCAGCGCCGCTGCTGGTTTGGGTTGTTTCGTCGTGATTTTCGTTTTCTGCCATTTTTGGTGATTATCGTTTTTTTTTTCTTTTCCTCGGTGTATTTTGGAGTGATTTTCAGTTTGGCGCTGAAGAGAAGTGATAACTAGAAAAGAGGTTTAGCAAAAGAGACAAATTTGGTTCAACTTTTTGGGTGGAATTTGGAAAAAAAAGAACGAGAAGGGGGAAGAATGGGCCGTTAAAGGATAAATATTAATTTTGCTGAATTTTTTAGTAGGATTTTCTTCCATAAATAACTTGCTCCATAAATGTATTTATAATTAATTTGCAGATTGTGTTATTAATGATTTTATTATGATTCTTTAATTAATAATGACAATTGTTCGTAATTACATAGGTTTTACAAACTAACAAATTAATTGTCATAAATTTTAGAACAAATACATTCTTCAATGAGATCTTTAATTATTTGAATCTAGTCTTATATACTGCTGGCTAAATGCAAGAAATCAAACACAAAATGTGATTCTTAATAACTTAAAATTATTAAAAAAAATACTCATTCCCAAGTATAATTCAGCAATCACTTATTTAAATTGATTTTTGAGACGAAATTCGTTGCTTTGCTTGAACATGATAAATTAATTTGTTACTTTAAAAATAGTACTCCCTCCATTCTGAATAAAGTGTCGTTTTAGCAAAATGGAAAATTTTCAAAATAAGTGTCGTTTTCACATTTCGATGCACTTTTTGTCCAAAGTTTCTAAAATTACCCTTGAAAGAATTAATATTATTGGTGGATATTTTTCAAATGGGGTTAGTTGAGGATATTCAAGCAATTTTATTACTCTATTTAAGAGTTTCTTAAATTATGTGCAAAATGTAGAATTACACTAATCTTCGAATGGAGGGAGTACAACAAACGGGTATGGACGAAGGAGTGCTTGTTTTATTCTCAAAGATTCCCGCCACATAAGCTAAAAGGACGCAGAAAGATGAGAAGCTCAATGGTAACGCTCACTTCTTCAAAAAAGAAACAAAATTTCATCTCCTAACTATATTAAGTTAAAGATATCAACTCTATTAAAAGATTACCTAAATTTACTAATTTATATGGCCCCAACCCAAATAGGAAAGAAATAGTTTACTCCACTTGAGGAATGAGTTTGTTAACATTGAACCAAACAATAAGGCCCAAATGAAACAGTTTGAACAACTTTTTTTTATATATAATACTAGTATTGTCTCGTCCTATAAAAAACGATAAAGATCCATCACTGAACATTACATATATATATGGAGTAATTACAGACTAAACTGAACGGTTCAACTCTAGCTCGCGGTTGCGTTGATCGTCGTGTTCTCGCTATTGTTCCAATTTGTCACCCCTGATGAATAAAAATTTTTCAGTCACCAGAAATCAGAGTCATGAATGAGTATTCTTGAGTAGGAGCATTTCATGTTTGATGTGTTTTTTTGAGTTGCCGATCTAGAATTTGTTAGCCAAAAAAATAAATGATATGTCTCTGAAAATAAATAAATAAATAAATACAATAACAGAATCATCAGCGATACAGATCAGAAGTTATCAGCGATACATGTCTAGAGTTATCAGCGATACAGAATCATCGAAAATAGTCTAAAATTGTTCCAGATGCGGTCAACAGATTCATGGAAGTCATCAGAATTATTTCAATCAAGATTTATTAAATTGGGATAAACTAGTCATAGGTAATTAAAGATAAATTGTAAAATAAAAATATTAATTGTTTTATTGTTTAATATTTACTGTGAAATCTATTAGTATCTAATTGAGCGACACGTGTTCCAGAGAAAAAAAAATTTTCTTATATAAAGAATATTCATAATTTTCATTGATAATTCTTAGTATAGATTATTCAATATTTATTCTTCCGCAATCAGCCTAATGAACTTAATTACTACTTAACCACTAATTATATAAAATTCTAAAAGCACCTTAAAGGTCATGACATACCCCTCCTCTTAAACAAAGTCTAGTCCTCAAGACTTGCACTGTTTAAAAAAATAAATAAAAAATGCCAAAGGGCCAAGACAAATGATTCCTAGCAGAGAACCATTAGCTACATAGAAAAATGAACAGCTGCACTCCGAACCATAAAGAGACAGATTCTGAAAATTTTTTAACCAAAAGACGGACTGTTGAATCAAAATGTGTCCCTCCCTGAAAACTAGTTACCATCTTGACTGCCATTGAATCCATAACATGGATGCACAGGGACCAAATTGAGATTGCCAACCTTGTTCTTCAAAGAATTTTTCGTTATGAACTTATAAGCACCATAGGAATCTAGAATGATGAATTGAACATAATGTATAAAAGTCTCCTTTTCTCAATTGAAAGGTAGATAATTGTCTCTAGAGCAACATCATCCATCCTTCATATATTCGGCCAGTCTGGAACATACAAATTGGTAAAAGTAATTGGTTAATCATAATTGGGGCCACGGCCACCATGGGATAAAAAATTTGGGGCGGAAAAAGGAACTCTTCAAAGACAGCCACTGGAATTAATACTTCCTAGATGACGAAGGCGGTTAGAAAGAAAGACTACATGAGAATCGAAGGTTACTCAAATTAAATCATTTACAATTATAGTCTGATTGACATAAAAGCATGCAGTGAGAATGAAGCTTTAAAGGTTCCGTTATTGGACTTCATGCATAAAAATCACTTTCTACCATTGAGGCCAAAAGGTTCATACATACTAAAAAAAAAGTAAAAAAAAAACGAAAAAAAGGAAAAGAATAAAAAAAGTGAAGGAATTTATTTACCTTACACCAATGCGGAAATTACCAAACGATCTTTGTCCTTCTCGATGCTTTGAACCCGCGGTGATTGAACCTACGAGAGATCCAACCTTGTTTCCACCAATTAAGTGTCTCTGCCAATCAATCGATAAGAACCATACTCTTTGTATATTTGTAACTGTGTGTATTCACTCACGTCTCTGTATTGGTAGGTTATACCGTACTTAACAAAGAGGAGAGAGAAATATAGTTACAGAGAATTTCCATCTAGATAACTAAATAATATCTGATAGGGAGGATTTAATTTTTTGAGTTAGTAACAGACTTATTCTGTTTAACTAACTCTATCGGGTCAAACCTACTCGGGTCGGATCATCATGGGCAGATCAACCCGGTTTATGAACCCGCTTTCCAACATCTCCCACTCGCACATGATGAGGAGACTTTAGGAACAAATCATTTGTTCTTTATCATAATGACATTCATACAGACAAATGATCGGTGCGACCGTTGAGTCTTCTAATGTTCGAGAGCAATATACTAGAAACCAGCTAAGGCCAGCATAGAGACATCAACCCTTTTAAAATCTCAAAAAAGCTACTCAGTATGCCCTAGAATCATTTGGTGATGCCAGTATAAGTATCTTTAATCTCTCGCAGAGCATACTTATACATTTTTTTTTTACTTGTGTAATACACTTATACTTATGTCACTCCAATAAAGTGCCATAACCCGACGACGAATAAGTATAGTACATGGCCATAATCCAAATATTCTTCCTTTGCCCTAATGTTAATCGATTTTCAAATTAATAGCTTTCCCAGTAATGTTCCATAAGGCCGAATCTCTCATGACTGTCGGCAACATACCAAAGTAGCTTACATTAATCATCAACCTTTTAACATAGTCAAAAGTCTTAAGGGTATATGATCTAAGACATATAATGTCAATAAGGACTCACACAGTGATGAAGCAGGGATCCATTCAGTCACTTCCTTTATATTCGCAAAGCACATGCGTATGAATGCATGCCACGATATAGTAATTTAGATGTCATGTGGACCTTAGTCAAGTCGCTCTCTAAGCGCCTTACTAGAAATTTTCCTCTACCATGTGTATCTCAACATTAAGAAAAAATTTCACGTCCACCTCTTTTACAGGCTTACATGAAATATCCAAATTCCATATACGATCTAAGTAATAGATCTCATCTTGACCCCCAGTCAAGGCGACATCTAATGTGTCTCATCTTTGCTCGCTCTCAACAGCACCATAAAGGTGATTACTTGCGTGAATCAGTCAATCAGCCTGTTTCTATCATATAATTTATATAGGTGCTAATCATCAAAATTTACACAAAATAAAAATTATGTAAATTCATAAAGATGGC